CCACATCTAAACAAAGATACAGGAGAAGTAAAAACTTACCCAAAGATGATCAAAGGCATAGAAAGATTTGCCTGCAGTTAAGAGACTAAATAGAGCAGGACACTTCAGCCTCAAAAGGAATTTTTTAGGGCTAGAGGACTGTCATGGAGAAAGTGTAGTAACTGCTCACTGTCTCTCATGATACAAGGATCAAATTAAGTGGCAGATATAAAGCACAGAAAAATTCTGAAATATGGAACAATTACAGAGCAAATACTTACAGTGTGGAACTTATTGCTATGGGGCTGTGTATTATTATTGCACAATTAATGTGTGGCCACTGGGGAAGCAGTGGTTTTTTTTAGCAGGACATTGCAGCCCCAGAGATGCAAAGGAGATGCAAGCCTGCAGCAGTGTGGTTGTACCGTGTACTTCTGAGCAATTCAAAGCAGACATTTAGTTGTTAAAAGTGTAATCAGTTTTGGTGTAGGCATTTTAAATCTAAATGATAAGTAAAAGCTGCATCTGTGGTACAGCACTTTGCCAAAATTCTGTGTTAAAAAGCTAATATGGGCACAACCCAGAATTTTGAAGTACATGAGCCAGGCTTTGATGTCTGCATTAGTGACCTTCTGCTTTATAGCTGCTCTATAAAGGTGAGGAGGCAGTTTACACAGAGATGATTTTCTGCTGCCCCTTCACCTGTCTGCAGATGTGGTGCCAAAAGCTGTCTCTTGGCACCTTACCTGCAGACACTGAATCCTGAACTAGATTTCAATGCTAGTTTCCCTTAAAGACATTACTCTGCTTTTCTGCACAGTATATAAAAAAGTGGATTTGCAGCAATGACAAGTTAGATGTTGGGAAATACTAATTAAAACCGCATTTGCACATTTAAAGGGGAAGTGTTAATGAATTTTGAGTATAAATTTAAGCTCAGGAGATAAGCTAATGCCCTGGTTGTTCTTCTGTGACAGACAAGTACAGTTGCTAGTAGTGTTGGTGGGCCAGTGGAATGTGAGGGAAATGCTCACCTCTTGTCACCTTTGTGATCGTTCCCCAGTGCAACAAGAGAAGGGATACAGCAGCTTACAGGATGAAGCAGTGAAGATCTTTAACTCCCTTCAGGAAATCGAGACAGTGTCTGACCCCATACCCATTATCCAAGGCATTCTGCAGACCTGCCATGATTTAAAGCCGCTTCGTGATGAAGTGTACTGTCAGCTCATCAAACAAACTAATCACATGCCGCATCCCAACAGTACTGGGAACCTGCACCACTGGCAGCTGATGTCCTGCATGAGCTGCACCTTCCTGCCTAGTCGAGGGATCCTGCGCTACCTCAAGTTCCACCTGAGAAGGTACACGTCCTTTTCCTTTGCAGGCTCTTTCCTTGCTCTCTTAGTGAGTTTATCTTCCACCCCCTGTTGTAGTGATCTGTCTCGCCTTCCTCCTGTGCAAACATCTTCCCGTCGTGTCACAGCCTCCTACCTTTGGGCATAATTGTTCCTACCAGTTGTTCTGTTGTATTCAAGCTCCCCCTTGCCACCCATGTGCTGTGTCGAAAGGATGTGGAAAGTAAGGCTACCCAAAGAGAATACCGTGAGACTGAGTAAAAAGTGGACTTACAGCTGATGACCCACTTCTTAGTAATGTCCATATAAACATTCTCAACCTGCAGGAAGGGTGAGGACTGCACTTTCATATACATTAAAATACATTAAAATACATACTACCTTGCAGCTGCCACAGGTGAAATGTGTACTGTGGAGCAGTAGATATACTGTAAATCCAATTCAAAATTTTCAATATTTGTTTGCCTAACTAAGCACCTAACACAATTTGTATTTCTAATCTGCTTTAACCTCCAATTTTTATGAATTAAATAATTTACGTTTTTTCCCAATTCATGTTCAGCATCTTAATGTGGCTTTCCAAAGCAGTTTGCACTGGGGCTGAGCTGCAGCCATGTAGCACTCCATTAATTTGATTCCTTCCAAGCTAGGAAGAGTGAGGTGAAATTTGTGCCAACACACCAATTAGCTACATCTAGGATCTGGTTCTTAGAGATGCTGAGGGATGCTCCGTGTTGCCATTTCATGTGTTTATCACTGGAGTTGCAGATCATCTTATACTTAGAACTGCTGGCCTTGGAGGGAAGAGAACTGTGTGCAAGCATCTGCTTTCTGCCTTCTTGATTCTGGAAAATACTGTAAAAGTGTCTCAAGCCTGGCCAGCAAATTAAAACACAATTAAGAATAAATGAAAAAAACCCTGTTTCTCCTGCTGGTACTGCACTCCTGAAAGCTTGAACTGCTTATTTCATAAGTTGCTGAGAAGTGCCACTGAAGTGACTTCAGAATGGCTAGTCAGAACAGGCTGTATGGTTTAGGAAATAAGCAGGCTCACTCTTTCTGTGGTTGCGCTTGACATCACTGTCTCTGCCGAACTCTGTACGTACAGTAGGCCAAGTTATATGGTAGTGTGCGTGCTTTCTGGTTCACTGTGTGATGGGGTGTTTTTCTTCTCTTTGCCTGTAGGGTAAAAGACCTCTTTCCAGGCTCAGAAATAGACAGGTATGCGCAATTCACCAGTGATTCCCTGAAGAGAACAAAGACGAGGGAGTTTGTGCCCTCCCAGGAGGAAATACAGGCTCTTCTCACCCGTGAAGAAATGACCACAACCGTGTACTGCCATGGCGGCGGCTCCTGTAAAATAACCATTAATTCTCACACGAGCGCTGGGGAGGTAATTCATTCGTAGCATTAACCAGATGTAAGCACCCCTCTGTGTCTGGATACTGGGTCTGTTGAAGGGACTCTTTTCCTCATTCATCTCCAATTTCTCTTATTTTTTAAATTCTTTTAAATTACAACTTTATTGCTGTATCTG